CAGGAACACATGAAGGCCAAAAGGTCTTGGTCTTAATCTTTTTGTTAAGTCAACTGACCTGTCCCCACCAGAAGCCATCTGATTTTGATAAAGAAATATTGGCTTTTATTTCTAAACTGGGAATACTGACCATAAGAATATTACTCTACAGTTCACTGCAGATGAAATGTTTTTCTCATGTGTCTTCAAGACTGCAGAACCGTTGTTTTGTTCCCTTATGTTTTGGAAGTGCGTTAATAGAGATGGGGAAGAAAAAGAACAGTTAGTTCAAGCCAAGCTTTGACCTGTAGGAATTTTATACCTAAGAGTAGTATTTCTGGAACAAAAGATTCCCATGAACAACTCAATCAATATACAGACTCGTTGCACTTTTTAAAGATGTCTTTTATTGGTTGTACATTTCCCCATGAGATCAACACACCATTTCTGCAAGGACACCTTTCTCCTGAACACATCATTATTTATCCTGCTGTGAGGAGCATAGCCAGCATTTGACAGAGAGAAGTGGTTGGGTGCCTTTTGCCATTGTCACTGTCTTCTCAATCTTCAAATTGTTGTTTGAGTTAGTTCATAGGTTGACACAACACTGAACACGACATACGCGGTATGAAGCTGTACAGACACAAGTACACACAGCCGGAGGCCAGTTACAGTATCTGGAGCTTGTCCCTTCCTCCTCGGCATGAAATGGAAGAATATTCTGAGACGGGAAATCAAAGTGTAAGCTCCTTGTGAACAGAGGAGTTCAGGTTTGACTTAACCTCTCAGTTTCATTTTCTGTCTGAGGCGGTAAGAGGAGTCAGAGCGGTCACCACAGGAACCGTGTAACGACCACTTATGATAGTTCCACACCCCAGCCATTTCCTTGGTCAAACATACAGATTTAAATAACTATTTTGTAGCACATGGGAACCCTTCTCTTCCTTCACTATGCTCTTAGATCAGGAAAGAGGAGGGAGATTATAAAGATGATTTTTATGAGATATTCTGGTTGGAAATTTTACTCTAGATTGATCTATGAAAGGCAAAATGATCCCCACCTTTGGCAATGATTGCCATTCCTTATTTATTTACTGTTAATTCCTTGTTTATGAACAGATGACTCTTCATGAATAAGGACCCAGGACAGGTGGCCCCTCGAAATGTTAAAAACAAACATGATTTATTTAAAGCCACATTATAATTCAACACCTTTCAGGTAACCCCATAAAAACTTAACCTACATCACTACAAATACTTGCGTCTACCCTAAATCTCGCGCATCATCAATTTCATTGGTTTGGGAATTTTAAGATAACATAAACAATGATAATAAGCAGTAGTTCAAAAGGGGGAAAATGACAAAAAAAAAACCGCACACAACCTGGACATTGGGAAACCTAGGCTAAAAGGAAAATGCATAGGAACAACCAGAGCCAACAAAGCAAAGATAACAAAGGATGCTCGCCCACACACACAAATATATATATATATTTTTAAATATAACCCTGCAGTTTGACTAAAGTTATAAAGTTATAGTAATAATTTTCATTTTCCCATACAATGTCTAGGAACATTTTCACCTTAAGAAAGTCTCCCACACATTTCCACATGGGAAACAGAGTTAAGTGTATTCCCCTGATTCCTTCTTCACTTTTACAGCTCATGAGCAAAAGTTCCTGGGGTTACAACAGAAATGTAAAGTTCCATCCCACCCACATCCTTCAGAGATCTTTATTTGATGAACTTTGAATGAATTCCATCCTCGACAGTTCAGCCCTCCTCATTCATAAAACAAACACATCACAATCCATGAACAAGAGATGGTTTCCACCAGGGACAGCGAGCAGCATGCTATATGTGGCAGGAAAGATGAGGGATGCCAGTTGATGAAGGAATCCACAACATGGTAGCCATTCTTCTATTTCAAACTCTCCTGAGACACAGTGTGGGAGCTGGGTTTCAAAGGCCATGGGTGCACAGCCCGCCAGTCTCCTTCCAGAATATTTCAGGTATCTGGGAAAGATAGCCGAGCCTCCTAACTAGCATATGGAATTACTTCGTTCTAGCATCAGGGGATTTAAACACCAGGCATGTTTTCCCTTGCCCAACAGCTGTCTTTACAATGAACTTGACGTCAAAACAGATTTGGAGCACAACAGAAGAAAACAATCAGTCATGTATATAAATACAAGAAAAGTCCATCATATAATCCACGCAAGATAAGGGGGAAAGTGGAGTTTTTTACCTTACAGAGATCAGATTAATGAGTGGAAGCAACATTCTCAGAGATAAAAATTGAAACACGAAGCTAGGGAAACCCACCTATTTTCCTAAAATTCTTGTAAAGTTCAATTTCATATAGAAATTAGATCTAGCATCTCATCGAGATTTTCACAAAATATATAGAAAAAAATGTCCCTGTATTTAAATGAAAAGTTTGAACTACATCCCTAATACCCCTTTCAGCTTTTAAATGACCCAATAGGATGATAGGGAATATGTTCCAATCTGGAAGTTAATTACAAAAGAAAACATTTCTCTTCTAAAAATACCTGTTGTTTTTATAAAACATCATTTCCTCATTTCAGTTCCTATAGAAAATCGCTATATGAGTTTCAAAAAATAAATTGAAGACAAACACAGGAGAAATGTGACAGGTAAATTGTCTGAAATGTTTAAATCAAACCTCCTTGGGTGGCTTTTACACAGAGATTGGCTGAGAACTCTACAAATCTTTGCCAGCTGTCTTTTTTTAAATCCTCACCTGAGGATATTTTTCCATGATTTTACAAAGAGTGGAAGACAGAGCGAAACATCCATGTGAGAGAAACACATCAGTTGGTTGCCTCCTGCACATGCCCTGTCCAAAACCCAGGCCCAGGCCAGGTGGAGCCTACAACCGAGGTACGTGCCCTTGACTGCAATGGAACCTGTGACCCTTAGGTCTGCATGCCAATGCTCTCTAGTGAGCCAATCGGGGTAGGATGCCAAAAGTCTTTTTGACATATACTGTGTTCTGAGATGGCTGCTGTCAACTCTAGTTATTAAATTTAGTTTATTGGCAAACAAACCATGATCAGAATTCACCATAGACTTGTGTGTGTGTGTGTGTGTGTGTGTGTGTGTGTGTGTGTGTGTGTAGGAGGCACCTTATATGATTCCATTGACATCTAAGCATTCCCTCATGTTTAGTGCATGACAGATAAACACCACCATGGTTTTCAGCATCCAAAGACTGTACTTTATTTCCATTACCTGTAACCTTTGTAAAACCCAGCAACAGTAATCTGTCAGCTTGAGTCTCAGATCAACCCCTTCTGTGTGCCAAGATTGTCCAAAGAGCTTTTACATTTTCCTACATATGAATGAGCAAAAATTACAACTCCTGCTCTGCAAACAGACATTTAGAAATTCTACTGTCCATGGAGAGCCCAAGAGTCATGCAGCCCTGTCCCAGAAATCAGGTTGTTTTCAAACTCTTTAGACAAATTTAAGGATCAATATGCATGGCAATCACATATTGATCTTTGCATTTTCTTTCAAATGATGCAGGCTTAAAATAAATGACCCTCTCTTCTTGCCCTTCCTCCTGCCTCCAAACTCTCTTAGCAAAACCCAAGCACTCACGGGCATTGTTAGCTACAACATTTTCCAGATTCTTGGGCTCTTTAGGGTATTCAAGTTGTCACTTCATCCAAAGTTCCCAAGCCTTGTATAGCCACAGAGACTTCCAGCTAAAGAGGAAAATATTGGTAGCCAAATGAATAATCTGAACGGGGGTTGATGGGGAGCTCAGATGGACAAAGGTGACCTTCAACACACTCTCTTCCCCTTCCCTTCACAATAAGACATCCTCACCCTAAGGGCACCACTGATAAAGCCAGGAAACAAGTTCTGTGCTCTTGACTCTTAGCTCCCCACGTATTGGACATGCACCTGGACACAGAAGTTTGAGATCAAAAGAAAATAAAAGGAAACGGTGACTTTTCCACACAATTCACCGCTGTGAAAATTCAAATGGGCTTTGAGTGTTGCTTTAAATTTGGCCTTCTGCCTTTTCTAGTGAAGACTGGTAGTGTGTTTCTATGCACATTCACAGTTCTCTGCACTGTGGGAAAAGCATGCTCATCAGATCACATTTGGTGCCCACCACTCTTCTTAAAGCCATCAGAACTAAAGAGAGAATGTCCCAGTTTTGTTTTTCTTCAGCCAGAAAGTAGCTGATGGATGGGTTGTATACTTTCCAAGTGTGGCCTCACCCCTCTAATTGGTTACCTTTTCTCTGAGTGCCATATTTTAAGATGGTGACTCAGTAGAGTCAACACCACCAGGGAAATGAAAATATTTTCTGATATCCAAATCAATGCCACTCTCTGAATCTTCCTAAACTTCATTATTTTTAGAGGAAATAATAAAGTTTTGGCTTCCTCATGGGTTCTTCCTGAAAAAGAAAAATCTCTACAGTAATACTGAAACTAAGGTAAGGGTTATAGACCTGCCTTCCAACTTCTTTTATCAGCTTGCTCGTTCATGGGTTTCCTAGCTTAGCACTGTTCTCTGCATTTATCTTTTCATGATTTCACTTCACAGTTCAGCTTCAAACCCCAAAGTCCGATGACAATCCCAAAGGCAGTGGCCTCACTTGTTTGTTGAAATAGCTTGCAGACTCCAACACAAACACTTGCAGTGCCCAAAATGATGTTAACCACTCATTTCTGGCCACAATAGAATATGACTTAAGAGGAAAATTACCCAACCCAGCTGCTATTCCTTCAAAGGCCCAAGGCAAGTTTTATTGATATTATAAGGTCTAATATTTTGAATGTGGATTTGGCTAAAAGTTCCCTTAGATATATATATATATTTTTTTTTTTTTACAACTTTCAAGATTCGGGGACAGAAGAATCCATGCGGGTAGTCCATTCAGAAGTGCTAGTTCTGAGTTTTGATATATGAACATAGTCAGTTCCTTTCCCCCTGTGTTAAGTCAGCCCAGGTCATATGTGATGGGCAGAGGAATAACAAGTACATGCAATCCAGGAAAACAGAGGAGACGATGATGGCCTGGCAGAAGCCACACACATGAGGGGCTCCTCAGGAAGTTCTGTTTCTTACAGCAGGACACAAGGAAGTGCCTGAACTTTTCCCTGCTTTCCCTGAACTCAGTCTCTAAGTTGTAAGAGCATCAGCTTCCATTCCCTGAAAAAAAGCCCTGAATCCCAGAAATGCAAAAGTATAACCTGGGGAAGACCCAGGCATGCCAGGATTAACTGCCTAGTGTCCGTATCTGTCCACACGGACAACTATAATAAAGAAATACAAGACAAATCTCCCAAGATCTAACTGCCACTGCCCAAGAGTAAAGATTTTTCTATGTCCTAGGTCAGTGGTCGGCAAACTCATTAGTCAACAGAGCCAAATATCAACAGCACAATGATTGAAATTTTTTTTGAGAGCCAAATTTTTTAAACTTGAACTTCATCTAATGCCACTTCTTCAAAATAGACTCACCCAGGCTGTGGTATTTTGTGGAAGAACCACACACAAGGGGCCAAAGAGCCAAAGTTTGCTGACCACGGTCCTAGTTCAAGTGATAAGGCAAATAACATAATCTGACAGCCCCAAGGAAGTAGCCTGGATGTCTTTGAAATACATTAACATATGCTATGTTACAAGGAGATATTGGTTTCTTTTCAAAAACACATCCCTACCTCAAAGTCCCCAACCTTGCTTTGTGTCTCTAAGTAGGCCCTTGTTCACTGCAGATAGAAAAGAGGCTTTTAGAGAAATTTTGCTTGTAAAAGGAGTTTGGGTTGGGAACTGCAAAAACAAAACCCCAATTTAAATCTTGATTCCAAATGACTCCATCCAAAAACCTGCTAAGGTCAATGATATTTGCAGAACTGTACACTGTGACTCTCTAAACCCCAGAAAACTGACCCATCCTCTCTGTAGACACCAGGAGCAGGAGGCAAGTGATGTACCTGGTGGCAGGTGCTTCCCCAGAGAAGAATTTCATTTTGAAGGTTCTGGAATTTCAGTTTGTTTCCCCAGGTAAAGAGAGAACATTCTTTTAGGTAAACTGCTGGGTGTAGGTATATCTGCCTTCTGAAGGAGTTCCCAAGTGTCATCCTAAGTGTGATGTATGTTTGCCTGACGATGCGGCAGGGAAAACAAATGTTTCTGAAGAATAAAGAGCTGGAAGCTCTAGGTAAGAAGTGTTGTATTGGTCTGGAAGAAGACAGAGACAGCGTGGGTGACTGGCAGATGAAGTTATCTATACGGCATTCTGTACAGACAGGAAGGTGCCCCCCAAAAATTGTACATACAGAAGGTGGAGCCAATTAGTCAGCTGTCCCATAGGGAAGACAGAGCTTTCACTGGAGGCTGTAGGGCTCAGAGATTCAGCCAGGCCTGGCAACCCAGCATAATCACATGGGGGAAAGACCATTTTGCTTAGACCCCTTAAAATAGAAAGTTACTGATTATTTAAAAGAGGATCGAGGCAAAGCAGCCCCATTATGTCAAGTCCAGTGATGGTGCTCGAGGGATAGGCTGAGGTCCCCTGTCACTGAGCGAGCTTGGAGCTCCAAGTCCACTGACAAGTATTTTGACCGCAAACCATTCTTTCTTATTTCCTTAAAAGAGGCCCAAATAGATGAGGTGGATGACTTGGCAGATTGAAAGAATTTTATCTGCCTTCTGCTTCTGATGTAAGTATGGCCTCTCAAAGTCTCAAATCCTAATGCCTCTCAGGAAAAAGGAAAGCCAAAGGATTAGCATCCAGCTTCATGATTCCCCTTGCACATAAATCATACCCAAAGCAAAAAGCAAAGCTGAGATGAGAGTGCAGTTAATGTCTACGAGAAGCGTGCCTTTTATTTCCAAGTTGAAGTAGGTTATGTTAGTTACTGCAAAAAAGAAAAAAAGAAAAAGAAGAAAAAAAAGGCCAGTAGGACTCGATTCAGTCTGAAGAAAATTGTTCCCTTGGCTTCCACAGAAAGGAATACTTACCTGAGAAAATCAAGAGGCAATTTTCATGGGACTGAACAGTCCATCTTTCTGAATCCATCTCCCTACATCTACATCTGTCTTCCTAATCTGCCTCAACAGCAACTGAGCTAAAGCCTCACTCAATGGAAGAACTCTATACACAGAGTTCATCAATTAGTTTTGCATTTGGTAGCCCAGGCATTAGCACACCATGACCTAGGGGCCAAACATAGCCCATCATCTGATTCACTAAACAAAATTTTATTGGAACACAGCCCTGAGATCATTCACAGACATATTATTGTGGATGCTCTCACACCCACCAGTTGCAACAGAGACTGTATGAAATACAAAGCTGAAGATATTTACTGTCTGCCCCTTTCAGAAAACGTTTGCTAATTCCTGGTCTAGAATATCAAGTTCATGTTCTGCAGAGCAGAGGTTATTGACCTCATGGGGTCTTTACACTGTACTCCTTTCCATCCCCTCAAAAAAAAATGTTCACGAAACTATGTGTTCCATGTACAATATGCATTTTCCTGGGTATAAGGTACTAGCAATTAACAGATTCCCAGAAAAATCCAGAGTACCCCAATTTAAAAGTGCCTCTAGCTACCAGCACATTTAACAGTTCTAACAGTTCTAATACACACACACACACACACACACACACACACACACACACACAAACACTCCTAGATGAGAGGAATGCGGATCTTCCAGAATAAAGTATCTTTTTTTTTCTATCAGGTTTCCTCTTTCTAGATCAATTTGGACATTTTTCCATCTGAGTTTGTATATGTTCAGGGGTCCAAATGAAAACTGCATTCTACTTGATAATTCAATAAAAATGGAAGACTCCTTGAAGCCAGCAAAGCTCCCTCTAATTACATAGCTAGACACTAAGAGGGCAAAATCCCCAGCACAACAGAGGTTTAATTCATGTTACTAGATCTGACAACCAGCTCCAATGAATTTTATGAATATAGGAACTCAACCTTTGAGGTCAGAGGAAACTATATCACCTGCAAAGCACTTGGGTAGGAAAGAGAAGCAGGCATCCACTGCACTGTCATGCAAGAGAGACTGTGTTTTGTTAGACACGTCTGGAAGAAGCAGAGTCATTTCTGAGCAGAGCTAAAGAGGCCCCTTGGTCACCAAAAAGATTTTTGGTGTTCAGCTATGAAAAGGTCATCCCCTCCCTGCCCCTTTGTGATTATACTCCAAAGATACAAAGTCCACTGCATTTGGAGAAGCCAGCCCCCCCCCCCCAATGCTGGGCAATCACTATTGCATTTTCTTTACTATGACCTATGGTGTGGCAGCAAAGGAGGGGAGAACTTCTATTAAAAAGCTAGTCAACCAGATGCAAGCAAAAACAATCAGAGTGATGGCGAAACACAGAGTGAAGTGATGCAGAAGATCAAGTGGCCAAGAATTCCATTTTGAGGTCCACCACCTTGGATAGTGCAAACATCAGAATAACGTACATTGATGATCCCCAAACTGTGTGCTGAGACATACTGAGGCAGGGCAGCGAACTCACCAGATAGTATAAATGTGTGAAAGAAACACAGCAACATCTGCAGGACGTGGCACAAACCACCACTATTACATTGTTTGGACCTAGTTATCTAATAAGTGGAATTATTAAGTATTTATTTGGGCCTAGGGCACCATAAAAAAATGTATTGAGACAACCAATGGCACCATGAAGAGAAAGTTTGGGAATCCCTGGCATACGCTTTTTGTGTATGTGTGTGCGGCTTGGATGTTACAAGAACAGTCAAATACGCACAATTGTGAGTGACAGCCATATGCCCATTTTCCATTTCAGGAAGATAGAAGCTGCTATTTAATCAACTCTTTCTGACTCTATCAGTGGGACACAACAGTCTTTAGAACAATGGACTGTTCCTCCATATCAGGGCTGTCAATCATGGCCAAGAGATGAAGGCCATGTCTGAAATCAGAGACAATCCAACTGATACTTTATCATCAAACATATGCATTGGGTGATTTCTTTCTCCTTCAAAGTCCTCTATCTGGAAGACTCTACACTTATTCCAAGAAGGTTGAAATTACTTAAAAACAAATGCACACTTTTTTGGGGAAATATACATTTGGAAATTATCTTCAGAGTCCATGCATGATTTTAAAAAAAAAACTCGGTCATAGTAAAACTTCAGCTCTGAGGGCAGATTTGAATTCTAGAAATTGCCAAACATAGCTGAGAGCTAACTCTGATAATAAAAGGCAGATAAAGCAAACAACAAAAAATACCTCATAAGAATTTTTGTCAAACTACTAAGGAGCAATTATAATATGATTCTGCATGTTACACGGATGGGAGAGGAAATGAATTCTGAAGACCTTTCTGAAAGAGAAATGGAAAATATATTTTAGCAACAATATTTATATAAATATACAGTCTTTCATAGTGGCTACTCCGAAGGGCAATACCCATTGATGCATACACTCAGAAGGCACTGTCTCAAAGACATCAGTTTTTTGGCAAACTTGGAAATCAACAGTGTGTGTGTGTGTGTGTGTGTGTGTATATATATATATATATATATATATATATATATATGACAATTATATGATACCCAGAAAAAAAAGAGCATGATTCTTTTGTAGAGATACACTGACTTTCTACTATACTGATAAATACAGACAGAGCTAATATTCTGATGGTGCATGCTTTTCTCTCTCTCTCTCTCTCTCTCTCTCTCTCTCTCCTCTCTCTCTCTCTCTTTCTCTCTCCAGTATACACACTTTGAATAATTAATTCCAATGGGTTAAATTTGAAAAGAAAGAAACATCAATTGAGCTATAAGTTGTTCAAGTGTGTATGTGATTTTGGGGACAATATACATGTACATATATATATATACATACATATGCATGTATGTATTACCAGAGACTCCCAATTTATATCATTTTAAATATAGTTTATACATCTCTATATTTTAAAATTAGTTGTTTATAACTTATAATACAGTTCTTTAGAAAAGCACATTCTACAATTTGGACTTGTAAAGCTAGGAAGCCATTCTACTTTGGTACATAAGATACTTAATCACCATGTAGTACAACATTTCTCTGGGGAAAAGACATCCCAGTTTTCCCATCAGTCTTCTTAGGAACACACCTTCTCTGACGGTAAGGTTTCCCCACTGATGAGGACAGAGAAAGAAGTGGGGTCTCCCGTTCCTCTCTACAGACCCTCTTCATGCTTTGCAAATGTTCAAGAGAAATGTGAACTCTCTCTTTAGGAGGTACTAGACCAGTGTTCTCAACCCTGGCACACACCAGAATCACATGAGTGGCTTGTAAAAAACACTGACTCCCAGGCCCCACCCTGGACAGATGAAAATCAATTCCCTGGGACCCTGACAATGATGGTGTTCCCAAGCTCCCAGCAATTCCAATGTGCACTGGGGTTAAGGACCATTGACTTACTCCTTCTGATCCCCAGTATGGTAACTAACTACCTCCTTCTCTATCCCAGTGTGCAAGTCCTGGCCCAGGGCTCACGGGCTAGAGAGGTGTACACATGAGAAACTCTCTTGGTTAAGAATATTTCCAAGTAGAAACTACACTGAACAACAGGTAGGAGTGACCTGACCCAGACCAGAGAGATGTTTTGCTTTACATATTTCACAAAGCTGTAACGGAAGGACCTCAGATTTGTATCTACTTCTGTCTTTTTGCATACGATGGATGAAAAAGCAAAAAATACAGTTGTGATTGTTTCTTTCTCTCTGACTCAGAGAGGAACTTGCAGATGGGGGACAGTGGGTCTAGAAGGGAACAGCCATAATCACTAGGATTACACCCCTTTTCTGGTAGAAAAGGATGCAGGCAGGGGAAGCTTCAGAGCAGATGAACCTGGTGCTGACTCAAACAGGTATCTCTTGGAGTTGGAAACAAAGACCTGTGTGACTGAAATGCCACACCCACTCTGGGCAACTGCTATGAACCAAAGGTCAAGAGCAAAGAGAAAATGCAAACAGAGAAAAATACATGATTGCACTTTGAAATCTAAAAAGGGAAGAAGGGGAGGATTTGAGGGAGCAGCCTTCTCTCCATATTTGTGAACCTGAGGCAAAGAAAGAAACAAGAGTGTATTCTCTTCTTCCTTTTTTCATCAAAATCTTCTGCCTGGTCTTAACATAAAGTCCCAAAGCAATGTCTCCTGGTTGTATGTTCCCTGTGGATCACTTCACTCCTTGATCTTCGAGGAACCTAAGCCCCAAATCAGAGGACGCATTGGTGTGTTTGGCTGCTAGGAAGAGTTCTTGTCTGCTGCTGACTCAGCTAGCTAGGAATGCACTGTGGAGCTAGCCCCATCCTGTGGAGCAAGCGCCTGCATGCTACTGAAGAAAGATGTGCCTCAAGTCAAGTCGGGGAAATCTGCCAGTCCATTCCTAGGAATTAATCCACCCCTCCCATTATCTCTGCATCTGATCAAAGGACACCTAACTGCCTTTCATTTTCTCCTACTGCAACCCTTCCATGGTTAGTAAGGCTTCTTCACTGAATAAAACAACAACAACCAAAAAAAGTAAATCCATGAGCTACAAGGCAATCCTTGGGGCCTGTCCATTGTAGGAGGAGCAATAGCAGAAGGAACCAATTCTCTGTGTGGTTTGAAGTGTTATTTGCCCTTGTGATTGACGAATGTCCTCCTTACTGAGAACAGATGTTCACAGAAGCCACTTGGCCAAATGTGGGACTTATCAAATACATACACACACACACACACACACACACACACACACACACATACACACACAAAAAGAGAGGTGGTAGGAAAACTACATCACGAATCACATCCCATTAAGACTACACCACAAATGTCAAAAGAACCCAGTTGGTTACTCTTTGAGCTGTGAGAAAAGTGACTTTATGTTTTCCAAGTCGGGAGAAGAGTCTGACCAGGATACCTTGCCACCGCACCTGGAATACGTGGTGAGGACCCAGGACTGAGCAGAAATCTGAGAACACGCGGCAGCCACAACAGCTGAAAACAGATATTTCACGAGAGGAGCTGCTTGTTGATACTTTTATAATACTCTTAAAGATGCATATTAAATAATTTCTTCTGGACCACAGACACAATTGAACTTAAAACATAAAAGCCCTATAAATATTGACGACCCAGCCTTGTCTTCTGTGTCTTCCTCCTGGCATAAAATGGAATCTTTCCAACCAAGCGCTTAAACATAAATATTAAAATAATAAGTGGGACAGACTATAGGTCTACTTACAATGTCATCACTACTGTAGCACCTTTTTGACCAGGGCCAATGCACTCATTTTGCAAAGAACAAAGCATCTGCGAAGCTTAAGGACTCATAAGACACATCATTAAATATTTAATCACCTTTTTAAGTCCTAAGCTTTTATCATATTTCATCCATCTAGACAGTTCAATCTATACTATAGATTCCAAGGCCCCTTTTGGAGGGGGTGGGGGAAATTGGGAGAAAAAAGCCTTCTGAGAGGCAGGGTTAAATTATCTCAAGGATGAGTTTCTGTTGGCGCTTTAGTGACCTTGCTTCATCCTGTAAACCCACCAATCCACAGGAGGGTCAACTGATTGAGTCCATCGTTTTAGTCTCCAAGAATCGATTTCACAAAAGATGCCACGTCTGTTGCTTTGGATTCGTGTAGAGTGAAAAACGGATGTTGCTGGATAAGAGAAGAAAAAATACATGGTATTAAAATTTGTCACTGATGAGTTAATTAACAGATCTATTTGGTAAACAAATCAATAACCCTATCAGGGCTACACTGGACTCTTCCTACCTCATCCCAAATCAAGTTCACACCTAGTGATGCAAACATTTTTAAAGATATTTCCTCAGAGTTGCCAGTCTCCATTTTGATATGTCCCCACTACAGAGGACCTAGTGCTTAAACACATACTAGTACATGTAATTAGGCTACATAAGATTCTATTTATGGTAAAATACAAAGACAGTCCAAACTCTAATTTTTACATAACCCAGCCCTACAAAGAACTGTTATACTGCTTCAGCAATAAAATAATTAGTGGTTTCACAGGTTTATGCACAGTCACTTCTCAGGAAATGGGTGGTAGAATAAAAAACCAATTTTGCAGGACAGAAAACGGGCAAGGCACTGCTTGCCCTTGACCCTGGAGAACTGGTTTGGACTCGAAGGGTTAACAAGGCCGCTTTCTAAGCCACATTGATGGTCACGAATTAGACTTATGTCTGTCTCCCTTGAGGAAGAGTTGATCCTTCTGGAAAATAATGTGGACTGCCAAACTGCTATGGGTGCGGAAAACCCAACTCGGAGATCCAAGATGGAAAAGCCAAAGAAATAGTCTCTATTCACGCAGGTCACATGAAATCAACTTATCAAGAACATCAAGTCCAGCACTTTGCTCGAGGAATAGACACGCACCAGAACCGTCTTCCCTAAATAACTCCATGTTGTTACAGCAACTGCTTGACTGTACACTGGAAGCTTCCACCTCTAATGAGGAGATACATCAGCTCATGATCTACACTTCACACAGGAGAAATACAGGCAGCCAACGAAATCAAGAGGGACAGTCCCTTCAGGTAAGACCTGAGCCGTGTCCTGCTCCCCACTGCCCCTGCCTCCCAACATGGCCACCTTCCTGATTGCCTGCTGGTCTTCTTTCCAGCAACTGGTGGAACAGCTAACTATGAGCCCTTTTGCATGCAGGCAAGTATATATGTGACTCACTCTGTCCCCCTGACTTGGGATTTTAGTTTACAGCCTTCATGCTGCCCAGATGTAGCGTTTCTAATTATATTGGTTGTAAACCGGACAGGAGGGGCCAGATGAGTCAGCCCTGCGGGGAACTGAGTGCCCACCCATGGAAGTTTTAGGAAACAATGCAAATGGGAGAGGAACAAAACAAATATAAAGCTCCGAAGAAGGTAAGTGGTCAGTATCAGGACACAGAAAATAGGAAAGGCGTTTCGCTTTGGCCCATCTGAGGACAGAGGTTGGGTGTTGGCTCGGAGCCTCAAACCCACGAGATTAACTGAAGCTCTTGATGTCGGATCCTTGGGCCTGAGCTCTCTGGATAAGTAAATACAGCGTTGCTTCTGATCACTAACCACTCACACAGCACACTTACCACGTGCTTCCCCATCATGCTTATTAGCTTCCCCACATCCCCTGGACATTTGGCGATCTTTTAATATACTTCAAAGTCTTTTACTATCAAAACAGGACATGTGAAACCTCAGATTATCTCAGCGACTGCTTCCCAGGCCAGCCAGCCCGTCTTGCCTCTCTTGGTTCTGTTGGTGGCTTTTAGTTCAGTGGATGGAGCCCAAGTCTGTGAATGAATTCAATAACCTGACCTGACATCTCTTTATAAAAAAAAAAAAAAAAAAAAATTCCCAGACATCTTCCAGTTTATTCTCAGGCTGGGGAAACGCAATGACAGCCAGAGGGCAGAGCGGAGGGAAGCAGGCAGGCTTGGCAGGACGGAAAGTGTGACTCGCCTGTGTGTGT